CACAGCAATGGCAGCATGACAGTGGGCAGGGGTAGTGAAGGGATCAAAAGTCACTCCCTGGCCGGGCTCATGGCACCGCTGGCCGTCCTCTTACTCGCTTCACTGGACCGTAGGCCTCGAACTCCCGCCGCAGCTTGGACTCCGTGGTGTCATGGTTCTGGAGAACATGGAGAAGCGGTCAGCACACTGAAGGGTGAAGTGGACGCACAGCATGCACACAGGAACGCGCACTCACCACCCGTGCCACAAACAGCGTCTTGAAGGCATCTCCCTGGGCGTTGGGGTCATTGTGGGGGTCCCCTGCAGGAAGACAGGCCGGAGAGTCAACGCGCAAGTCGGTCTCACCAGACCCTGAGGCCACTCACAGTCCTTACAGAACACACACTTACACAGCTTGAGTTCACCGTCCATGACCCCCTGCCTCCTCTCCATCTTCTCCCGCCTCTGAAACAGGCAGATACAAATCTTCAGTCACTACACCCATAAAGAGGAGCTCCCCCCGTCACTCATTCCACCTGTAAAGAGCTCCACTTCCCTCCAGTCACTCTGCTTCATACAGCACCTTCCGCATGCACAGGAGAGGGCTTACCTTCCTCTCCAGCCTCTCCTCCCTGGTCTCTGCCCTGGTGGGAGGAGGAGCATCTCTGGGATCCTGTGAGGAGAATCCAGCAGCCAGTCAGGGATGCCATCATAAAAACCACTCCCTTCCCTTCCACCCCCAACTGTCCCCACCTCAAAGTGCTTGATGAAGGAAGCGATGCCGCAGTATGGCTGGTTGTGCTGCTTCTCATGTGGTAGTTTCTGGAGCTGTGGCAGGAACGGTATCGGGTCTCGCGGGGTAAAAAGCGCCAAAAGATTTGGGGGTAGAAACTGTGTCATTTTTCACTCTAGAGAGAAAGCATGTATACTAGTTATTCAGGTTGACAACATGACAGTCACACTCTGGCAGGGAAATGCTTACGCACCATCGGAACAATTTGCACTTTACTAATACATGGTCAAATCATTAGGAAAATAGATTAAGCAATCACGCATTAGAAAAGGGTGATGTATAGTCATATGTAGGAAGTACATGATATACTTAAATGCAATTAATTTCTTACTTTCCCATAATGCATAGACAAGTCTTCTGAAAGGTAAGGTCCAAGGCTATTTTCAGACAAAATGTGCTCAACTTTTACTGTACCATTTTCACAAAATGGCACTTTGGATTTGAGGTCTTATCAATTCCTTGTCAAGTTTTTGAAGGCACCATTTTACAAAGACTAGCAAGGGAGTAGAACAAGAGGCTGGAGTGCATCACACAAGGGTAGGAACGAGAGGTAAGACTGATGCATAACAGATGTGGCTTGTTAGAGCCATACTAGGAAAAAACAGGAGGGGCAGATTGTCATGCCCTACCAGAGAACACAATAGCAATGCGCAAACTGTAAAACATCATTTGGTGTGTATTTCCTTTGAATTTGTGTTCAACCAGGCTCATTATATAATTTTAATATAACCCTCTATGAATCGCCACCTTATCGTGGTGGATTGGTCTGTATGCCACTATGATCCTAGGAGCTATTTGTCTGTGCATATGCACCAAACACCAGTTCAGAATATCTGACCTTCTTTGATACCTTATATGGGGTGCTGGAAGGTGAACAGTTATTGGATTTCTTTGCTAACCACAGTTTGTCCATAACCTGGCACCAGAGCACCCTAGGCCGCGGTTCGATGATCAATATTGTGATCATATTGTCGGAACGGCACTGGCACGTGACACTCTACCGAAGAGAGTTGAGCCGTCAACTGACCACCGCCTGGCGGTGAGCCGGATCCAATGGCAGGGGAAGATGCCAGATAGAGCTGGTAGACCCAAATACATAGTGGGAGTGTGCTAGGAACATCTGATGGAGGCTCCTGTCCAGGAGATCTTCAACTCACAACTCCAGCAAAACTTTTCTTGCATCCTGAGGGAGTCAGGAGACATTGAGCCTGAATTGGCCATGTTCAGGAACTCCATTACTGAGTTGGTGCAGAGTTGTGGCCGTAAGGTTGTTGGTGCCTGTCGTTCTGGCAATCCCTGAACCTGGTGGTGGACACCAGGGGTAAAGGGAGCTGTCAGGCTGAAGGAGGAAGCCTTCCGAGCTTAGTTAGCTTGTGATAGCAGCTGATAGGTACTGGCAGGCCAAGCAGAAAATGGCTTTAGCAGTTGCTGAAGCAAAAATTTGGGTGTGGGAGGAGTCTGGTGAAGCTATGGAGAAGGACTTTCTATTGGCCTCAAAAAGATTCTGACAAACCATCAGGCGACTAGGAAGGAGGAAGCAGGGCCTCACCCACGCTCCAATGAGGAAGACCTGTTGACCTCAAATGGGGATATAGCCAGGCAGTGGAAGATATATTTTGAGGATCTCCAGAATCCCACTGAAACGCCTTGGACCTTGCCTTTCAGAAAGTATAAGACTTCTTTATAGGTTATAGGAAAATTCTGAGAAATGGTCTGTCATACTTGGCTCATATATGCAAATGCGTATAATAGCATGGATTTCAAAGTGAATTTTCTTGGAAATGGTACAGTAAAATTTGACCAAGTTTCGTCTGAAAATAGCTTTGGACCTTGCCGTTCAGAAGACTTGTCTATGTATTATGGGAAAGTAAGAAAATAATTGTATCTAAGTACATCCTCTACTTCGTATATACGAGTATAATCACCCTTCTCTAATGCGCTTCGCCTTATTTTCCTAAACGCGATCTGATATCGTAATGTTATGTCTGCGTGTGCACCACGCATTTCAAACGAGAATGATTTGACCGTGTATCGGTAAAGCGCGGATAGCTTGAACGCAGTAGGACAATCGCAATGCGTAACAACTGGCCAAACGGCCTCCTTTTGGGCTACATCGCCAGAGACACATTTCAACGACGAATCGACGCTTTGGCTCTAGCATGCTGGAGCCTTAGGCCCGCCGGGCCAGTTCGGTCCCCGCACATGAAAAATACACACTTACCCAAATGTCGCATGTAGTAACATCCAAATAAAGTAAGACCAGCAAAGTCACGATGAAAGACACCAGCTCCACCACGGTGTTTAACGCCAGAGGAATGTAAACTATGAATGAATGACAAACACTCTCACGGTGAGGCTAGGGGCTTCTCCCGCTGTTCACTACCAAAATGGCGCCGTATCGTAAACTTTGCTGACGCGAACTGCTTTACGGCTCCACCGTGACCTATGACATTATCAGAAAAGAATGGGAGCGCGTAAACGCGTTTATTCAGTTACTAAGATTAGAGAAAGCCCTGGGGAAGACAGACGTTTATGGTGGTCTAGAACGTTTAAAAATGCTTAATTTTCCCATTATTCCCCTTAGTTTCCCGTCTTCTTTGTTTACACACTTGAACACCGCCTTAGTGCTGCAGCGCCACCTACCGCATCAGAGTGATAACGGAAGTCAGAAGGGCAGGCGGAAGTATGTCCAAAAGCTCTTTTTTTTGCTCGTCTCGCACCAGTCAGACTTCACTTTTGATTTAAGTGACGTGGTATTATCAACTCCTGGAATGTTTGTAGGCACGAACAAAATTGAATACCTAACAGCAAGCACAGCAGCTAATGGCCACACCTCAACTGCACTCTAACCAGATACACACATGTATTTTAGTGAACGGTTAGCTCACAGTTGGGGGGGGGGAGGAGAGAAACTTGAGCTGGTCTAAAGACTTGCATTTTATTAATCATAATCAACTTCAGCTCAGCAATTACCATTGCTGGAACACAGCATCACAGCCTTAGTGCTTTCACCTTTACATCCTTACCCAGTCAAGTCTTGTCCAGGGATTGTCAGACCCTGCTTTCTCAGAAATGTCAACTTGGATAAAAGCAACTACTAAAAGTGTTAAAAGGTAAACTGCCCCTTACATGTGGGCCACTGTGCCAGGGTGCACCCCTGCTTCAAGACCCCATTCAAGCTGCACCTAGTAGATGGCCTTCACTCCCAACTGACACACACCTCGATAAATTAAGAATATTATTCAATGTTAAGCATCAAAGCACAAGTATCCTTCCCCAGTAAGCAAACTGAATATCATGGGTATAAAAAAACTGATTTGGCAGTGTGTGCTGGGAATCTTCATACTTTCACACAGAGCAGACAACAGCTTCATATAAGACCTTTATTAATCAAGCACTGAACACAGCACAGGACACCCAAAGTGGTCGTCTCCTTTAAAATTTCTGAAACTGCTTCTTGGCGCCCGCTGCCTTGGTGACCTTCAGCACATTGAACCTCACAGTCTTGCTGAGGGGTCTGCACTCTCCCACTGTCACGATGTCGCCCACCTGCACATCTCTGTGGTGGAAAGGGATTGGCTGTTGACAAGCATTTGCCACTACACAAGCTGCATGCTAATCATTAAAATGTGAGAAAATGTAGCACTGCATCAGTGTTGCCATAAGGCAGTGTCCTCACAGCCAAGAAGCTTGGAAGACCATCGTGAGATAACCATCACGTGCAGTACAATAACAGTGATTACCGCATCCCACCCAAAGCTGCCTTACCTGAAGGCTGGGGAAAGGTGGACAGACATGTTTTTGTGCCTCTTCTCAAAGCGGTTGTACTTGCGAATGTAGTGCAGGTAATCCCGCCTGATTACAACAGTCCTCTGCATCTTCATCTTTGTCACCACACCTGAAGGAAGAAGGTCACATGACTCTAGGAGGAACATACTTGCCATTGGGAAGTTTTTCTGCCCACATTTATGCTGCTTGCATCTGTGTACTTTTGCAGTCTGCAGCTACAAAAGTTCCCACTGGTATAAAAGCACAGATTCTGAAGGGTGCAAAGGGGGCCCCGTGAGCCAAGCTGCATCAGCGCTGCCATAAGGCACTGTCGTCAGAGCCTCAAGGGCTTGGAAGACCATCGTGAGATCGACATCATCTGCAGCAGAGCTGATAACCAATGTTACAGCAGAGTGGCATAACAGAAAGGCCTTTTGATTGAGAGTTACTGCACTACACTGGTGCACCTAAATGAATGGCACCCCTCTTTGCCCACTCCCATCTGTAAGCAACCAGCTTCACCACGGTGAAAGCTTTTGGGGCATATCCAGCGGCAGCAACACTCACCTGAGAGGATGCGGCCTCGGATGGACACATTCCCAGTGAAGGGGCACTTCTTGTCAATGTAGGTGCCGTCAATGGCCTGAGGGAGACACACACAAATATGACCATATATGAAACCCGAAGCTTCTTGGAAATTTTGCAGACACCGTCAGGTCTGTCTGAATAACCTTGAGATGTGAGAAAGACCACCCTCCACACACTTTAATAGCAAGTTGCATCAGTGTTGCCGTTTGGCAGCGTCGTCAAGGCCACTGTGGCTTGGAAGACCATCGTGAGAAAGAACATCATCTGCAACCTAGATATTAGAACCTGAAATAGTGATCTATAAAACTTAGTAAAGTGAGTCGGGCCGCCTGATCAAGCAGCCGAACGATAATAGACAAAGCTGCACAAGAACCGCGCGGGTCCCTGGCTGAAGTAGTATTTCACGGTGCAATAAGGTCCCCGGGTGGAGTTCTAACCTCTCGGGGCGTCTTGAAGCCCAGGCCGACGTTCTTGTGGTAGCGGGGGAGCTTTTCCTTGCCGCCGCCTTCAGCAGCCAAAACACGCTTCTTGTTCTGGAAGATGGTGGGCTGCTTCTGGTACGCCCTTTCGGTCTGAGGAGACAAATGCGAGCATTCAGAACCCAGGCGGGTGGGAATGACGGAAAGGGGAGCCGGGGCCGAGAAGCTGGGCCAACGTGCGTGTGTGCCGAACAACACGGTGGTTGGCAGCGGTACCGGTTAATTACACAAAGACAGCGGACACACCGGAAGCAGCAGATCCACATCCGTTAATAGAGTTTAAAACTAGAAACCATTGATTTAAAACAAAAAGTGAAATAAGCAGAGAGTATCCGGGCCTGTAAGAGTCCCGATGTGCTGCTCGACACTAATGGTCTTGCTACTGCTAGCTCGCTAACTCCACACTAAGCTCACTTTACAGACATACCGCTATAACGACTCGATTTTCAATTCTACCTCAAATATGACAATGCGTACGACTGCATTATGCTATAATCCTTAATCTTTTCCCAGAACATTATGTTTAAATACTAACTGATGATCATTTTTTAAAAATTTGCGTTGCCACGCCGCGCCATCATGCTCACCTGCACGTCCGCCATGTTTGCCTGCCGAGAGCTAAAAAGGCCCTGACACGCTCGCGCACCAGCAAAGAGTGCATAGGCAGGAGGTGACGTATAGGTAAGAGGCCGGAAGTGACGAGGCAGAAAGAACTATAATGTTTTTTCTTTCTTTCTTTAAAGGAAGCGCCAACTAGGAACTGCGGTGGAGTAAAGAAAGCACTGTCAAATTATCCTGCAGTTCACCACGAGACAGTACCGGGATGACTTCTGGAAGCTATCTAAAAACGTCAATGTCTGCAAAGACTTGGGGATTTACTCTCTGCAAAGCCGACAGAGAAGCCCGCACTATAGCGTAGATGAATATGGAGCGAGCCAGAGTGGCAGGAAAGATCGTGTTCATCAGTGGACATATGGGATACATCAATGATAACTATGGATTAGATCTCACTGTTCAGTCTAATATTCATTTTTCTAAGAGTACAAGTTGACATGCATCTTATAAGTTGAAATGTTTGATGCAGATCTAAGGGTCCTTACGTTATTATAAAGAGAGGTTTATATGTTTTAAAGGGCTCATTCAAAAACTCACCTCCTTGGTCAGTGATGTTCCTGAAACCATTTATTGCACATCTGAGTGGTAGAAAAGATGTAACGGAGCAAATATATGTCCACTTTTCATGCAAGCTGTTTCTTAAAGGGTAATGTTTGCACTGCAGTTATGTTGAGTTGTATTTGATACTATTCAATAGGGGCTTGATGACAATGTTTAAAGCCAAAGCTAACACTCATAAGTATTTAACTTTTGTTTAGTCCCTTTATGTCTTCCTTTACTCCTACAGTTTCTTATGTTACACTTAATACTAGGGATCTAAGAGATTCTATAAAAAGGAAATCAATCTTATTCTGTAAAAATCAAAAAGCACACTGCTTTTTTTGCAAGAAACTCATTCGAAAGTCATGGATGAAAAATTCTGGTCAAACCAATGGGGAAAAAAAGGTGCTGTGTGTAGGTGTTGTGAGTGAATTTACATATAAAGAGTGACCCCCTGGCCTGTGAGGAGCCTGGGGCAGGACAGGGTGGAGACTTTTATGATCATTGTAATTTAGTTATCTTCCTTATCACCCTAGTGGTGCCGACCGGACCCCCATTCTCTCCCTGACTTCCCCCATGATCATAAATTGCTAACACTGTCTGTATCCAAATGATCAACCAAGAACCTTGGGGTATCTTTACTACATTTCCTTACACATGCTTGCTTTTTGTAGCGTATTTAAATTGAACGAAACACGGCATTCTGAAAACCCTTATGCCAAAGTCTTCACATGATTTAAGCAGGATGGGTCAGTCAAATCTAGATAAACCAAAAATCTAATGTCAGAATTTAGTCCTGGGCTGGTGTCAAAATCCATAATCTCTGTAGCACCCTTAACAGATCACTGTATCATTATATTTATTCTTGGATCTGCAAACAAATATCTAAAGGGGAATAAAAATGAATACTGGATGTTTACATTTACATTTACATCATTTAGCAGACGCCCTTAGCCAGAGCGACTTACATAAGTGCTTTAATGTTAAATGTTTAACTGAAGTCTCCTTAAAGGTGAACCCTTCTGCCAAGAAATTATAATGGTGATCAAGGATAAAACTGAACACTCAGTTCTCACAACTTATAGAGCAAAATGGGAGTTTCTAAAAACATAAGGTTTGTCAAATCTCCACATTTAAATGGTCAATTTTTAAGCAGGGCTAGTAGAAAAAAAGAAGTGGAACTCATTAAAGAAACACATTCTATCTGTAATAAATCTTCATTAAACAAGAATGACAAACAAAAACTTATTCTCCTGCAGTCCTTGTTAGATAATATTTACACTAGTAGAGCTAAAGGAGCATATTTAAGGTTAAGGGTGAAGTGGATTGGGGAGGGTGAACGTTTCCCTCCCAATTAACATTAGCCAAGTTAAATATTTGAGATAGAATTAAAAATTGGGAAGATTGGCAGATCGGTTAAATATAATCATATTATTATTGAATTTATAGTGATTTGCATGGTCCTTGTAGGCATGCACCTTATCATTCTGACCATGTGTGATGTTTGAAATGCGAAACTGAAGAAGGATGTTTAGATATAACATGGACTGGTATGAGTAGAGCTGTTACGTTGGAATCTAAGGCATGTATTGAGTACAAAGCGCAGCGTCCACTGAACCCTGGCTGCCCTTTATGGCCTGAAGCCTTTCATTCTCAGAGTGAAATGATTGGATTGCTCAATGTTGCATCACAGGTGAGTAGGAGGCAGGAAGTATAACATGGAGACAAAGGCATGTTGTGTTGTTTTAATGTGTTTAAAAAGCTATGCTCTAGTATTTTGTTCTTCTTTTCTTGTTGTCCTTTTTCTTGTTGCGCAGTCCGTCAGACTATTAGGAGACCAGACACTATAGGGATGAGGGGAATGGGATATCCAATCCACTGGCAAATCCCCCCCCCCCCACCCCATGCCAGCATCTCACCACAAAGTCGCGTTGATTAAGCAGGTTCTCATCTCAGTGTTGAGCATGAAATAAAAAGGTTATCTGGAAAGTACAAATTTCAAGATGTGATAAAGTTCAAAAACAATACTTTATGCTTATGAGTATCCTTTACATAGTTATGTACGTTATACATCAACCACGGAGAATTATCAGGTACATAACATACACTTTCTTTAGGGTTTTTTTTAATTATTATTGTTATTATTATTATTATTATTATTATTATTATTATTATTATACACCGTATGCAACCGTTTGACTCTCTAAAACTATCATTAACAACATACATTGTCAGAGGTATCATGTCCATTGCTCCCTGTGGTGTGCTGCTTGATACTGAAATATCAGCTCATTCAATCTGAATGTTTCATTTTAAGAATCGATTCTAACTTTAAAATATACATGTTTTTTTACCTGGTAATTCCATTGACTATTTTTTCGTAGGGAATAGGGTCACACACAGGGAGGGCAAAGGGGAAGATCTTCTATAGCGCTTATCCTATGCGGGGTCATGGGGGTCCGGACCCTATACCCAGAAGCTGTGGGCACAGGGGGGGGTTCACCCACTGCAAGGCACACAAACTCACCATTCACAGGCTCATGCCCCACCCCCCATCCCTGACCAGGTTAAGCAGTGGGATAAACTAAGGTGTAATTTAGTGTCAAAACAGTCCTCAAATATTAAAATATACATTTTTAAGTAAAAAAAAAAGTTTAAGAATAAAAATTAAATTAAGAACAACAATATGTGACAAATACCAAAATCAGAGAGTAATAAAACTAGAGACAGATCAAATAAATAAAAGACAGAGGTGACAGAGCCTTGTTTTGATTAAAAGATGAGCGAGGTCTGGAGTACTGTGACAAAAGATATCGTCTCTGTTCCTCAACACCTGCTGTGGAACACGGTCAGACTGGTGTTCAGACAGCTCTGCAGCTATACTGATAGACAATGTCCTTGTTTTTCTCTGCTCCCTTCACTACTTGTGTCCACACTTGAGCTGCGGATGAGGTAGCTGGTCTGCCTGATAGTCAACTCTGGTCTAGCAGTCCTGGTATCCCCAACCAGCCTGTCTGCCTGCCTCTTTCTTGCTCTGCATATCTAAATGTCTTTCTTGCTTGCTGGCTTCTTGGTCCTGTCATCTTCACTAAGCAGGTCGCGCAGGTCTAAGAGTGCTTGTTTGATCTGGTCTCCAAACTTGTGAGAGTCCTGGGCAGGGGAGATAACAGCATTTTACAAATCTGGAAAAGGACTTCATATAACATCCAGACATGAACTCCATCCAGGCCAGAGCTGGACAAATCCGGTCCTTACCGGACATACAATTAGTAAAAATACAAAACAAGTTTTATGTTCAAGTCTATGGAGAGGAACAGATTTTTAACCACATTTTTCCTTCAAATCAATGATAAATATATAAGTTAAGTGGTTCTCTTGATTTCTACATGTCCTAACATGGTGAAGCTTGGTTTTGGCCCACCAGGCCTGATCGAGATTATGGCAAGAGAAGTCTGACAAACTGCTGGGTTACCATCAAGCATGCCTGCACCTACCAATGAGGATGCTGAGGTCAAGTCCTCAGTATTTTTTCTGCAACTCCAATAACCACAACCCATCACGGAGCATACCTAGGGAGGGCTAACACTTTTGACCTGGCTACGGCCCTGCCACCAAGTCTCGTTCCGAGTACTGTTCTACAAATGGTGTATTACACAACAGCTGAAGTACAGAAGTACTCTGTCATTAAATCTCACGGGTTCTATAATGAGCATGATCCCCGGCGTGTGCAGGCTGCAGCCCCGGCTTGTGACACTCACAGACTGTGCGCACGACTGCTTGGAGGAGATGTGGAAGTTTATCATGTCCTCCCCTGAAAAGTTGTAGGAGACTCCATAACCATCGTCAGCCACCTGGTCCAGCAGGAAAGAAACTTGCTGTTACTAGCGTGCACCACAAGTAAACAGGTCCACTGATCAGTAACGAAGAGGAATGGTGTTTAGGTGTTTAGGTATGCACCTAAACCTAAACAGTCCTCTTTCACCTGCATTAATGCAGGTGAAAGAGGACTCTCTGAGTAAGGCAACTAAGTTCTGAATCTCAGAGTACAGCGACTGAGTTCTGACTCTCCAAGTAAAGCGACTGAGTTTCAAATCTTGGAGTACAGCGACTGAGTTCTGAATCTCCAAGTAAAGTGACTGAGTTCTGAATCTCGAAGTACAGTTCCTTTGTTCCGAATCTGAGAGTACAGTGGCTGGGTTCTGGATCTCAGAGTGCAGTGACAAGTACAGCAGCTGAGTTCTGGCTCTCTGAGTAAGTAGCTAAGGAATAAGTGCTTTACACTGACCGGCCCAAAGCCTCCGCCCAACGAGATGTATTCAGGATGGTTGACCAGATCGAACAGCTCCACCTGCTGGACTGAAGTCTGACTAGTAGACAGGCGCCATGGCTCAGACAGCACCTAGAAGAACCATCAACAAGTGTTTTTAAGTGTCCTGATTAAGGTCACACCAACCAGGCACCTCCAGGAAGCATTTGGCCTCACTTATATGCATACAGGTTCCATACCTTGCTGAGAAAAGGTGACTCTATTCCCAGGTACTGAGAGACCACATACAGGCAAAAGAGGTGTCTGTCAATGCCTGACCCAGTCATGGCCAATCGGTAGAGGTTCTGATGCTTCTCAGCTGCCAATTGGAAGAGCCTCCTGCAGAGTTCCGGCCCCTGTATGAAGGGCGAGTGATGGAATGGTAGCCATTAGCATCCATAGAAGATCAGAAGACAGGCCCGTGTTACTGTCAAAAAAGCACAGCGGTGGGATGATAAAGTAGCCTTAAATCCAGCTCAGCACTGGGATGCACCCAGAGGGGGCGCTGGCCACTTGACTGGAGACTCCACCTCCCCATCTTCCAATGCCTTCACAAACTTGCTGCTTTCAGCTGAGCAGGAGCGCACTGTCTCCGTCCTGCCCTCCCGGAACAGCCGTGTCATAGACGCCTCGTAGGTCAGGCAGAACGTTCCCCTGATCTGATGTGGAGACATCAACAAGGCCAGTTAGAGACCTGAGGACGCTGATGCATCACACATGACCACAGAATGCCATCCCTCCATTACACAAGGGAAACTATTTCACCTTTTACTGAACAGCTTGCTTAAGCTGCCTGATTAATCTTCCATGACATTATTCCCTAAGACACAAGGCTGAGGACACAGACACGTTCATACCCTATAGTAAGCAAGCTGTAGAACCAGCTGGACGAAGGCATCTGGGCTCGTTTTGTGCCTCTTTATAAGTCTCTTGCCGAAGTCCCGGAAGGGGAACACATGGAAGCTGACATCGCAGGCCAGGGTCTGAGCTTCTGCCAGAGACCGAGTTACCACCTCCTGACACTGAGGGGAAAGAAGGACACTCATAGTCAGCAAATTGTCACTCACAGTGAACAAGGTGTCACAATCAAAAAGGTGTTACTCCCAAGGTGCTTTCACACCGAAGTTCTGGATACAGGTTCCTGGTTCCAAATTCCTTGACCAGGGACATTTGTAGTTCCTGGCCACTTTTGTGTGTCGCTTTCCAACCGCACAACAGGAAACGTAACCTTTATGCTAAATAGGCCTGGGAGACGTATAAACTACACCTCCACCCCGAAATAATGGACAATGAGCAAATTTTATTGTCAGTTACTTGTTAGTTATTTTGAAGCTTGATCGCGATCAAAATGAAACAGCCTTTATTTTATATTTTTTATACGACCCATACATGTTTTACAGTAACAATACTGTCATATACAATTACAGTAACACTTAGATACTGTAAAAGCAAAATACAGTTATGGTACTGTGAATAGTGTTGCCAGTAAGTCACTGTAAAATCCTTTGAAATGTCTAACAGTGTGACCCAGTGCTGTGACCCCCAAGCTATGGAGAGCAAGATGGGGTTGGTGAAGAGAAGCATTCCAGTGAACCTGTACTTGTGAAAATGAGAAATAAAGCTTGTTTTTTGTAGTTTACAGTTGAAACACACTTGTGGAATGTTTAATAAATGATATTGACTATATTGGCAAAAGAATTGGAAAACCCCTTCAAATCATTGAATTCAGGTGTTCCAATCACTTCCATAGCCACAGGTGTATAAAATCACCTGGCAATCTGATGGATGAGTCTGGGTTTGGTGGTTGCCAGGAGAACGGTACTTGCCTGTCTGCATTGTGCCAAGTGTAAAGTTTGGTGGAGGGGAGATTATGGTGTGGGGTTGTTTTTCAGGGGTTGGGCTTGGCCCCTTAGTTCCAGTGAAAGGAACTCTAAATGCCATTTTGGACAATTTCATGCTTCCAACTTTGTGGGAACAGTTTGGGGATGAGCCCCTTCCTGTTCCAACAGGACTGCACACCAGTGCACAAAGCAAGGTCCATATGGACATGGATGAGTGAGTCTGGTGTGGAGGAACTTGACTGGCCTGCACAGAGCCCTGACCTCAGCCCGACAGAACACCTTTGGGATGAATTAGAGAGGAGACTGACCTCACAAATGTTCTCCTGAAAAAAACGGTCAAAAATTCCCCTAAACCTTGTGGACAGCCTTCCCAGAAGAGCTGAAGCTGTTATTGCTGCAAAGGGTGGGTCAACTCCATATTAAAGCCTATGTATTAAGAATGGGATGTCAATAAAGTTCATGTGTATGTAAAGGGAGGTGTCCCAATAATTTTGGCAATATAGTGTATGTACCTATACATTTGATCAACAAATGCATCTCTTTCACCTATAGATAATGAACATGATATCGTATGGGTATCATGATGATCTCACAGTATGAAATAAAATGATGAGATCAAAGTGCGGTCAGTGAGCAATTTCAAATTGATCTGGCAGTGCAGTGATATTGCAGTATTATGGTAAAAGATAACCTATGAGATCAGTACGAGATCACAGTGAGACCCTATTCTTGACTGGGATGTTCATAATTCATAATTAAATCTGGCCAGCAGAGCAATCTTTCATTTTCCACAAAATAAAACACAATGTAACATTATTCCAATAGTAAGTGCTGGAATGTTTTACCACCGGCACGAAAGATATTAGACAAAAGTATCAGTCATCGATCAAATTTTCCAATGCAGAAATAAGGAGACACAAGCAAAAATTAGGAATTAAACGTAACTGATGTTAAAAAAAATAGTGACCAGTGAGGTGTCACTCATAGTCAGCAAGGTCTGATTTTTTTACTCAGTTTTTTTTACTGCCAGCAACAGACACAGACACAGACACAGACACAGACAGACAAACACACACGCAGACATGGACAGACACACAAACCCATAGACACAGAGAAACAGAGCTCCTCACTTCTGGGGGGATGTCCCAAAGCAGTCGCTGTGGTGGGGGCAGTCCAGGGTCTACATTGCCCTTGCAGTGTCCTTCCTCATTGTAGCCCAGCTGGAAGGCGTCTGTGGCAAGGACATACTGCAAGGGGCAGAAAGGAAAGCATCACAGCCATGGCGTCACATGACCACATGAGGTACCCAATGCACGTCATATGGCCTCACCTCCCACAGGTGAGCCACCGTCGGGGCATCAGCCCAGGAGTGCTCAGCATTCAGGCCCGTCTTCCCGTTCTTATACACAACCAGGGAAATGGACTTATCAAACCACCTGTAGGGGGACAGGGACATGGATAGAGGGAGGGGGAGAAAGAAGGAGGGGGCAAGGAGTGATAGAGGGGGGACCAGGAGAGAGGAAAAAAGGCAAGAAGGAGAGGGGGGAGAGGGACAAAATGGAAAGGTGACTGTAGCAGGGTATCCCTCACTGGCGGGTGACACACTGCGTTGAGAGCCACCCCTGTGTGGCACCATCTTACTCCACTGCATTGAGAGCCACCCCTGTGTGGCGCCATCTTACTCCACTGCATTGAGAGCCACCCCTGTGTGGCGCCATCTTACTCCACTGTGCATTGTTAGACTTC